GGAGGGCAGCCGGAGGAGCACGCTGAATATTTAGACCCGGTGTTATGCCGGTAATAACGGGCACATGGCTAATCTGCATGTATGAAGGTCCGAGCTCTTGTTGAAAGAAGGGGCCATAATGGGCTCACTGCCAACAAAGTTCAGGCCAGATCACAAGCTAACAGGGGCCTCACTGCGCGAAGCAGCGGTACATACAGCTGAAAACACTCCAGTCCTCTGCACACGGTGGTCTATTAGCATGTCAGAGAGACACGCAAAACAAACAAACTCAATGACACCTCAAATTGCCCCCAAAAGAGATAATTAGCATATGTGAAGCAATTGGTTGATGCCAGCTGAATGGAGCTGTCAAAAAACGGCAGGCGACCGCAGATAAATGTCAAGTCCCGTCACCATATGCCAATGCTTTCAAACTTTATTTAACAATATAACCGTTAATCATGACTCCGATGTGTGTCACAGTGCCCACAATAACCGAGTTTCCCAACGTTACATACGTGTAGTCTTTTAAGGCCTGTAAGGCTCGTTTAACAACACTAAATGCTAGCATACTAAATGCTACGCTTAGCATAGCGAGCTAAAAACGGAGTCACCTTGGACACAAAATCGAAACGGTGACTTTACCAACTACCTTTAACTACTGCGGTCAATATTTCTAAATGTTTATGCAACTACAAATAAGTGTGACTCTTTATTTACTCAATAGTCGAAAATGCCAGATTTATGGAACGAGCTGCGTAAATGACGTCTATCTGCAGAGGGGAAAAATACACCTAGCTAACCAGCTAACTGACGTTAACGTTAGCATAGCGGCTAACTGGGTGACATAACGTAGGCTAGCAGGTTAGCCGTTATCAGATGACTATCTGTTGTTAGTCAGGTTAGTTTGTTACCGCGTAACAACAATGGCCCAAAGTTTAATAAGGTGCTATTCACCTGGGATCTGCTGCTCCCCTGGCCGTTACTCCCCGGGCTCATGGTCGGGTGATTTCTTTGTTGTCCTCCCCAGCCATGAGTAGCCGAGCCGTACTGGGAGCCCATGTCTTTAGCCAGCCCCATGCTCGGCTGGTGCTGTGCGTTAGGATTATTGTAATCCGGATATCCACTTCCATAACTGCGCATCATCGGGCTCGGAGACGTCAATAACTGATTCAGAGTTGGCGTAGCCCCCGACGGGTGTTGTTGCTGCTGACCCTGTCCATGGAACCGCTGAAATCCTCCGTTGTTGCCGCCGCTAACACCTCCACCTACAGCCGGGGAGCTGGTAGCAGCCATAGCCACTTTACTGTGGTTAGCAGCGACCGAGCTGCCGCTGCCCGGGCCCATCAGGTTGTTCCCCTGGCGTGACGGACTCATCATGCCACCGTATCCACTATTCCCATAGCCGGGTCGGTAATTCGGGTAGTGGTTATACGGGCTGTTGTTGTTGTACCCTTCGTGGGAGTTGTGAACCTGATCCATAGTGTTGTGTACCAAGAGCGCCGCTGTTACCCCAGTCCCTGGGCTTTGTTGTCCGCCATGTTGATCAAAGCAAGGCCCTCCTCTTCCATTCCCATAATAATGATTAAACTCGGAGCTGGTCCCAGTTGGAGGAGGGTTGTTGGTGGTGGTGTTGGTGGCTGATCCCAGGCTGGCATCCATCCGCTCCTCCTCCTCCACCTCCTCGCTTGTATTCAGCTGGTGTTGATGATGGCGTTCCTCCGCTCGGCTGTTCCGCACCAGGAGGATGTTTTCTCTCCGTCCATGATGCTCCTCTCCCCGGCCCTGCTGGATATTGTTGTTGTTGTTTATAATGATGATGTTGTCGTTGAAGGTTTGTCGCTGGTGGTGGTGCTGGAAAAACTGGCTGAACGGCGGAGGTGTGTGGTGGGATGATGATGATGCTGATGATGGAGGAGGAGGAGGAGGTCCAATACCAGTATCACCAGCAGCTCCGCCACCGCTGCCGAGGGTTTTTACATTATGCCCTCATCCCCGTCTCCGTCTCGGTCACATTAGAAATGGACCCCGGCGGTTTTTTATCCGCACCTTTTCTCCGTGATTCGGTTTCTTCTCGGTGGAGGTTCTGGTCTCCAGAGCCCGGCTCTGATCCGCTCCAGGACCTTGGTCTACATTATTCATGCCGTGGACTCCAGCTGAGGGCGCAACTCCAGCAGAAGCACCAGTCCTCCCAGTTTCAAAGTTGGGAATATCAAAGATTTCTGTGCACCGTCTGACACCCGGTCTGATGCCAGTTGCTCGGCCATGATCAGGGTGCACATGTCCCGGTGGGCTGGGAGCAGGCACCTCAGAGCTGGAGAGGAAAATGATGATTTTCCTGAGAGGAGTTTATATGTTTTTATTAACCAGTTTAAAAAGGTGTGTAGTTTGGTCAGAGATGGCAGGTAAACGTCCCATGAACCCCATGTACAGTCTACACATCTCCACACAGTCATCACTAGGGATGGAACCAAAGATTATTCTTCTATAAATGTCAGAAAATAATGAAAACTGCCCCTCACTGGTTCCAAAGCCCAAGTTCAGATGTTCAAACTAACAATGCAAATCCCAAAGATATTACATTTATTCTTTGGTGACCAAGGAAGCCAACCAGTATTCATATTTGAGAAGTTAAAACAAGTGTTGTTGTTGTTTTTTTTGGCATTTTCCTCCATTGTAAACAATTAATGGTGAAAGTCATCACAGTAAGAGTCTTTTTTTTTCAATGGATTATTTATCTAATTGACCTACATACATAAAAACAAAGGTGTTGGTGCATTTTTGTTGCTGTGATTATTACTATTAACTGCCAGGTTTCATTCAATTATTTATACATAATTAATTAATATTAAACATACTTTATATGTAGCTATCACCCAGCCTATACACATGTGCATTTAGTGTCCATATATATATTATAAATGATATGATCATTGACCTTTGATTAAACAACAGTTTTAGATTCAACATTAAAATGCTTGGCAAAACTATTCTGTACCAACAGTAGGTTTACACTTAATACTTCCATCTATTTTGCTGATAAAACTTATCAGATAAGTAACTACTGAAAGCAAAACTCTTATTTGTAATGGGATAGTTTTAGCATATTCACGTTGTGTTATTGGTGCTTTTACGCACATTAATACACATCAGTGTAATGTGAACATACCAGATGTCCCTCAGCAGTCCCAGCTCCTTCCATATAGAAAGTTCAAAGAGTGAGTTTTCCTTTTCAAACAGTTTGTTCTGAAGGAGTTTAGAGGCCTGAAAAAGTCCATTTGATTATATTTCTAACCTATAGCTGATTATCACAAATCCCAAACTTGCCTTGGGGGCTTTACATCACCCTCTGTCCTCAGACCCTCAAGGTGTCAGGTTTCTCTACCGACTGTGAATCTAGGGCATAAAACAATTTTCCTGTTGGCTCTGCTGCATCAGACCCTCCCCAACCTCCACCCCAAGTCTCTTTCCTATTTAATTCTGTCGATGCCTGAGGTTGTTTTAAATGCACAAACTGGAAATGTGCATAAAAACAGGTGGATGGAAGCATAAAAATAACTGATGTGAATGTCTCCAAATCAGCTTTTAAAGATGATGTGCTGCCGAGTGTGTCCAGGACATAAATAACAATCAGGTCAGTTGGCGTCGTGGAGTAGATGTGAGCACTGCTGATGTTACAGCAGAATGTCACAAATCAAATGGAAAGCCTCCACATGAAGCAGCACGCTGGGACCCAGCAGGGAAACTCCCACAGCAGCACTGGAAACACCCCAGTCAAGCCAGGCAGGGAAACTGGGTCAGAAGGAATCAGCAGCAGCTCTGATGGAAACACAGCACAGACACCAAGTATCACACACCCAGAGACGTTCAGGAGCTTTAGAATCACGTCAGAGTCATTTGTGGCCTCAAAACTGATCTCAAGGTGCGTCTTCAACTCCAGAACCTTTCTCCTACCTGCATGAGCAGAGCTCAGATCTCCGTTTTCCAACTCTCTGCTCCTTGAGCCTCCATTTCACTGAGTGATGAAAAAACCTGTTTGTTACATTTGTGTCCATATTCTGAGGTAAAATAACATCTGGTACAGTCAGTGTTGGCAGACTGGGACTACAGGACAGGTCCATGTTAATGACCTATACCTACACATCTCAGATCTTTGAGGTTTTTGTATGAATTTGACCTCTTGAGTGTTTCTGTTCTTGTATTCAGCCCAACAACCACCATACTCGTCTCATTAAAGATTTAGAACTTGATGAGGATCATGCTGACATGTTTCAGCCTTTTAGGATATTTAGCACAT